ACAGCCACAGCCGTAGGGCAGGGATGCCCAAAACACAAGTGTACCCTTTGGGTGGGAACTACTCAGATTATGTGGTCCGGCGACGCCTAAGCACAGTCTGGGATTAGTAAGGGTCTGGGAAAACATGTTGCATAAAAGCATTGCCGATTGAGTCGCGAGCTTCCGGTTGGTGCTGGATGGGGTGGATGCCACTCGTGTATTTCCCCTCCACGGAGCCGTGGCCACAGCATGTGTCGCCGTCGGCGACATTCCGGTCACCGGGATGGGGGTCGTACCTGATCCCATGGCTTCTGAGCCCGTAGGTCCCGTACTGCCCTCCTCTTCCTCGGCTGCCTCAGACATGTGGCTCTGCGGAATCACTGAGCCCAGGAGCGTGGTTTCCTCATTGGTCATGAGAGTCCGTCCCTCTCGGTCCATGGCAGCTATGATCATTCGTGCCACTTCGCCCTCGGCTCCTGCCCTGGCCAGTCGGTGAAGCTTTTCCATGTTGGTCTCACCAGCCAAGGTGTCATCATGTCCACCTGTGGTGCTCCCATGCTCCGCTGTCTCCTCAGCTTCCGCTGGCTCTGCCTCGTCTTCGCTGGGGTTGGTGACCAATATGTTCGGGTGGTCCGTCCAGTTGTCCGTGAGAGGCGAGAACTTAATCACCAGGTGGCTCATCGTCCTGTAGCACTCAGGAATCAGGGCAAGCACTTGCTTTACCTCAACGCCCTCCTCGGCCAATGCCTGTGCCACTGCACCAGCAACTCTGTGGGCAGTCGGCTGCAGCAGTAGGACATCCGTGGGAGGAGGTGGTCCCCGTGGCAACGGTGTGCCATTCGGGGTGCGTGGGGCCGCCTCATCGTAGGCCCTGATTTCCTCCTCCGTGTAGTTCCTCATAATCTCTTCGCTGTCGGAGGGGTGGCCTTCACCCCCATTGGCCGTAGAGGAAACCATCGTGGAGGCCGTAGCTGCCATGCTCCGCCGTGGCAAATCCTGGTCGTAGTGCCGCCTTTCGATGCACGTCGGGCCAGTACCGCTGCGAGCCATAAGTGCAGACACAGTCAGAATTGAAGCGTGGCTACCACATACAAGCACAAGCTGAACGAAGCATTCATGCCGAGTCAAGAACCGCTGCACGACTGAGCAAAGCATAAGGCGCCAAGGGCACTTCTTGAGGCATGTAAGACCCCGTTGCACAAGCCAGCTGAGCCTGATGCAGTGTCTATGTCCATCAGGTTTGCGTTTGCTTCTTCTGTGTCTGTGTCTGCGCCTGGAGCGTGTCGGAGAGAAACGGAATCTCCATCGCCTCCCTCTGCGTCCCAGACAGTGGCTGCGAGAAGTAAACCACGGTTCGGCAGGACTAATCCAAGCTGTGGAGATCAATCTGTTGGGGTGGCCCTGCACACCAGAAGTGTTGAACCCAATCCGGATAGTGTAACCTACACCATCGATAAAGATGTTCCTCATTGGGAGGGAATCTAGAGCAACGGGCAGCCTGCAGGGTTCGTCCTGGGTGAGCTTGTTCCGTCCATTCCATGTTCCACTCATTGAAGAAACTGATGTGGTTGATGTACCCACCATGTCGCCTGGCAGTGATGAGCATAGCCTCGCTGAGGGCCATGTTGAACTGCAGACGTTGCAGTCTGCGCCCGAAAAGCTCTCGAGCATACTCTGCCGAGCGTTCCAGTCCAATCTTGTTGTGATTTGGTATCCATACATGGTCTGGAGTACAGAGGGTATTGGGCTGCGCGCACTCAAACTTTTCCACCATATCTGCAGCAGAAAAACGAAAAACATGAACCTTGCCGCCCGACCAGAGCCGGAAATTCGTGACGTGACGTGAGCACGGCTAGTCAGAGGCAAAAGAACATGGCGAATCCTCCTAGCTGGAGCTGGCCCAATGGCCTCCAGCCGAGACGCTTGGAGTAGGAGTAGGAGTAGTAGCAGTAGCAGCAGCAGCAGTAGCAGTAGCAGTAGCAGTAGTAGCAGCAGTAGGAGCAGTAGGAGCAGTAGGAGCACGAGTAGCAGGAGTAGTAGAAATGGCAGCAGGAGCAGAATCAGGAGCAGGAGGAGGAGGAAGAGTAGGAGTGCGAGTAAGTGTAGGAGGAGGAGGAGGAGGAGTGGTGCAAGTAGTTTTCAGAGAACAGCAGGTGGATTGGGGGTAGTGCTGCGAGGCATGGACGTGCAGGGGATACACTGTGGAAGGCTTTTTGCTTTTGCGCCCGGCATTGTGAACCCTGGCCTCAGATGCATCTCCCGCAAGTCAGGCGAACTCTGAAGCAGATGCGGGAGAAGATCCTGAGTCGAGAAAAAGTAGCAACGGTAAGAACACCGCCCAGAAAAGCACGCAGACATTCACATGAATCAAGTACATGTCAAACAAGAACGGGCACTGCGGCCAGTGGCAGGCTTCTTTCGTTACGACATTTTGACAAGACGCACGTGCGCACATGCATGCATGCATGCATGCATGCATACATGAAGGCGATGGTGGTTCAATTGCCGAATCTATCAATGCACTCATAAACACTCAGACGTGAAATGTAGTAGCCCTTGTGGTATCGAGGCAAAGCCAAGCCTGTCCGGAGTCTTGACGCCTAGAGCTCGGATCCGGCTCGGGTGCAGTTCGGGCGTGGAATGGGAGGGCTCCTTTTCAGGTGCGGTCCACCGGAAGCGGCTCCAAGGGCGTCGGCGCGAAAGCAGGCGAGCGTCCCGCGGATATCTGGCTTTCAGAAGACACAGTGTGGAGTGTGGAAGGGTGGGAAGCAGACCGATAAAGCGTTCCCCTGTTGGCATATGTCGCGGTGCTCCATTGTCAAGGTGCAGCGGCACTTTATGCCTACTCATCTTTGAGGGGCACGACTCCAACACTTCATCCCACCCCTCGCCTCTCGAATAACGAGCTTTGCCATCACTTCCAGGGTTCTTTGTGACCCGCGACGAATGTTGGGTTTTCAGAGCCTTGGGCCTGCTGCGACTTGAGCAAGGAAGCATCGGCAAATGCACAGAGTTGCAACAGGTCAGGTCTCGGCCGCAGGCGCCTGGCAGCCCTCGAAGTAAGCGCTGATTTGACTGTATTGCTCAGGTTGGCAAGCTCTTTCTTCGTGCAGTTCGGAGCAACATCAGGCAGGCATGGACCTAGGCATTTTGCCCCACATGGAGCCCTACTGGTAATGCTGGCTGCAAGCAACGGCCCACTAACCCTCACTCTAACCATTAGTCAATCCTCAGCTCCATCCCACTACGGAGAAGATGCCGGCTTTTGGAGCTCCGCTTGGCAGGATTGCGATAGTTCGAAAATCTTTTTCTCCAACTGAGGGTTGTGTGCCTTCGGAGGGAGCTCAGGGGTCGGGAGTCGTGTTGGGCGCCGTGGGCCAGGAACCCCATTGCCTTTGCTGGACGAGCCTTGCTGCCAGAGCCCCAGGACACACCAAGCAATGCATGTCTGCTTCTCTGCGCCCTCAGCATTTTCTGGCAAGGCTTGGGGGTTTCGGACTCTTGAGTTTAATGTCTAGGTCTGCGTACGTTCTGCGTGGAGTTGTGTTTACGGCTGTTTGATACCTGCGTACTTTGGGAAGGCTTGTCAGGTGAAAGTTGTCCGACGACATGCGCTCGGGTTTGGTTGTTAGGGATCCTGTCTCCTGTCAGGACGGCCTTGCTTGTCAGCTTCGTCTGCATGGCGTATCTCGGTGCCCGGAAGCGCAACCAGGACGCGAGACGTGGAAGTTTGGAGTCCCATAAGTGACACCGAAGCTCTGGATGTCGTATCGGTCGTGCCTAAGCCGATCTAACACTAACACGGACGCCCTTCATAAGCATATCAGGCCAATCTCTCTGTTGGGGCTGTTTCTGAGTTAGGTTTCGATGCTACCGACCTGATGAGGAGAATGTCTTGAACTATCTTTGGGCAGTGATGTGGGCGTCGGCCTCGGACGCAGCACGCCGAATAGCCTCAAATCTCACAATGGAAACGTTTAAGCCGATGCTCTGTGCTCTGAATCACTTTTCTCAACTAACACACCCATTAAGGCGTAAACTATCATACTACGAGTCAACAAAGGCCTTGCAAAGCATGACACAGTGATTGTTTTGGGAAACACGAGTTACCTTGCGGGCTTGGCAGTGCGCGGTGATGTATGTGACTTGCCGACAACTGTGCTGTCTGTTCTGTCTTCTTTGTTCACCGAATCCAGATTCCAAGCAGCCAGAAGCACTAAAGCGGCGGCGCCCTCACGGGGTCGTGCGTCCCACTTTTGAACAAAACCCGAGCGCAAAGCACATTTCGGACGGGCGACGAGCTTTCACAGGTTTCGACAGCACCAGAAGCTTAGGCCAACTCTCGCGAAAACGCATTTTGGTAATTTTGGTCGGAGCCTGGTCGGATTTCTATGTCTGGTTTCTGAATTTTAAAGGTTTCAAGGACGTTTCATCTTAAGGGTACGTTTCCCACTTGTTGCATGTTGCGTTTTCTGAGGCTCTTGCTGCAGAATCAGATTGCTTTGAGTGCTTACTGCCCAGGCTTAGCCCCAAAGTCCTCCAGAAAGTCGAGTCCACCCCACGCCAGCCCGGAAGCCGCAAACTGTGGCCTAAACAGAGAAGTCCGAAAGTATAAAATCGATTCTGGGGATCTAATGGTTTTCGACCCTTTCGTGGGTGCCGAATTCGGGCTCCTAGAGCCGACCGGCGACCGGTCCGCCGAAGGCTCAGGCTCCTTCGCTTGCGCAAAGGTGCAACAGCTGCCAGCTTTCCTTTGCATCGGCGCCGTGCCGAACTTCGCACGCGAGCATAGCTGCTTCCGCAAGGAGGCTCAGCAAGTAGAGTGCTTCATGCTAGATTCGAAAGGGCTGCAAGGCTTTCAGAGTCTTGGTGCCTTAGACTTGCGTTTTGGGTATTTGATGCTTATGATCCTGGATATTCTTAACAGGCAAGACTGCTCCCAACCGTCGAGTCGAGCCGCAGCATCTGACTTAGCACGTGGCACTTGAAGTCTTGGATCGCTAGACTCGCAGAAGCGGTAGATGCTTAGCTCCAGCATCAAGGCCAGTGCATGCAGCATATTTACGTACTGGTGTGGATTAGCCCTTGAACATCATGTGCAGTTTCAGCCTCAGGGTTCCAGGTTTGGTTTGCGGTCCGTCTCGCGCCACAAATTTCAGGGCGCGGCAAACTGCGCAACCCGAAAGGCCCTTTATCCCAAACTTGTTCAAGATCTTGCAAGACTCGCCCGCGCCGCTCCGAACCGCAGCTGTGGAGCGCCCGCACGTGTTGCCCTCCCTTCGCCACACGTGCGCGCCTCTGGCGACATGTCGGAGGTCGAGGCCCGGGAGGTTCAGGCTTTAGATGCGTGAGCTTTGTGTTTTGAGGTTCTTCCAGAGGTCTCGTTCAGGGGATTAGTCGCCGCGAGGCTTCTCAGCCTCCTAGCTTGAGAGATCTCGATGTTGCCGATTGTTGGGATAGTGTTAACAATGCTAACTTAAGGGGGGCAGACAGCCACGTCTTCCGAGAAACGGGTGAGCTTGTGCTGTGCAGGAGACCCTCAACCGGATCAAGACCCATCGCGGGGTAGCCGGCTCAGTACTGCAGAGTGGTGCGGGCTCGCTTGCGTTGGTCGTTTCGTGGGGCTCGAAAAGACCCTAATTGGGGGTTAAGCTTTATCGGGTTTAGGGTTTGGGCTTTCGGATTCAGGTCTCCGGCATTGTCATCGTCAATGCCGAGTCTGCAGGGCGCTCAGCGCGAGCGTGCAGCCTTAGAGTCGAAGCCTCCAGAAATCGGAATGTTAAGTTCCATGCAGCCAAGAGCACACTGCACAGGTTCCGATCCGTTCAACCTTGGACAAAAAGCAGACCGAGCAGTACTCTGAACTGGTTTCGCAGCTCGCGGCCAAGGCGCCCTCGTGGCCTTGTCGCCTCATTTACAAGCTTGTGTTTTTCTGCAGACCTTTGTTTGGTTTTTGAAGGTGTCGGGCTCCTACGGGCGGCCCGCTGTCGAAGTCAAGCATGGCCATGACCCATGAAACACACAACTTAGAAGACAGGAGTCGTAAACTTGAAGGTCTCGGCGTTGTTGGCGCGAATCGAAGACAAAACTGGTAGCAGCTCGAAATCAGAGCTCCGCAACAAGGGGCCAGCACGTGCGAGCTTCGACTTTCAGTCGAAGTTTCCGGCGCTAGTTCAAGACCCGCAAGCCAAAAACCTGTCCTGAAACCACACCACCCCAAACCCAAAGCAAGCTGTCTCGCTCCTACGGCACTCTAGCCAGCAACCTGAAACTCCAGGGAAACAATGCTTGAGTCCTGAGCCGTCATAGCACTTACCCGAAAGTACGTCCTGCCCAGCAGCCCAGCTCTGACAAGTCACTTGAGCTTCCATTAACTGAACTCGACACCCAATCCCAAAGTGTAAGCTGAAGCAGGCGAGAAGCGTGGTGCGAGACCTGGACCCTATGCACCTTGGCATGGAGTTAGAAAGTCTTAGTCTGTTTTTGGGCCGAAAAGGAATAGTTGAAATGCTGTGCGGATCGATCCTTCCCGTTGAGCTTCAGGATTTTCCGGAAGCATCCGCGGAGTGTGTGTGTGTGTGTGTGTGTGTATTGAGTGTAGATTTCTCCAACTTCATCTAGTTCTGGTTTCGGTGCTCGGCCGATGCATCTCGCATGCTGGGCCAGCCAATGAAATCGGTGTCTCTATGCTGCCCTATCCCTGCCTTACATGGTGCATGGCAGCTGCCAGCTGCCGTTGTGAGCCTAATGCTAATGTTCCCATGCCCCAGTAAAAGTACCGAACCGAATGGAATCAGATAGTTTTCGTTTTATGGTTTATGATTGTGATTGGAGCGAAAGTACTTTCCAAGTCCCGCATCCGAGACCGAAGGAAGGGGGTGCAAGCTTAGGAACGACCTCACCTTCCTCCGCATCCGATCGAAGAAGCATGCGGGAAGCCCAGAAGAGCTCAGGGCAGTCAATGTCTGTTCTGAAAGACAACCGGGGTTTGCAGTGGGCATATGCGCGCCTCGGTTAGTTGGTCGCGGGGTCTTCAGACGTACTCCTCAGCATGCAACACGACCCAGTGGTTGAATTTCCTGTTTTGTGAGCCCGGGTGATGGATTTCGATGACTGGCTCAAGCTTGGATGCCTTCCGGGTTGCTGTGGCTGTTCGTTCTGTACACCCGGAGGCATCCTGCCGTGTAATCAGTGTCGTCCGGCATGGCCTTTTCTGCCCGTACAAAGCGCCCGTGCCGAGGAGATTATGGTCGCGCCAGACCGAGAGTACATTCTGATCGTCATCCAGGAGCGTGACCTTGGAAACCCAAGCCTCAAGCCAAGTCCTTCATGTGAACACTCACCCCACCACACTTAAGTTGAAAAGGAAAAGGCGGCTACTCTGCTGGCTGGGGTTGAGGTCGGCTGCTTGCAGCCGTCCGTGTTCAATCAGAAATCAATAGTGAATCATAGTGAATCATTCGAGTGAGAAGAACTGCAGAGGCGCGGCACCCGCAGCCGAAAGGCGAGTTGTGAGCCGAACCAGAAGCCAACGCATCCCCCGAACCCAACACATCCGCGCTGCTGGAAGCTTGAAGCCACTTTGCCCCCTCGTCTGAGTCTCCTTTTCAGCGAAGTTGTCAGGACCCCAACGCCGACCAGGGCACTTAAGCGAGCCGAGACTCGAAGCCAGGGGCCGGCGCAGTTGGGGTTACTCCGCAATGGCGCATGAACCCACAGGAGTGCATTATGTCGCCTTGTGTTCCCAGAAAGATTTCGAAGCGGCTTCAAGATTTATTGGGAGTTGTTAAGCCCGGCACCTGGCTCTGGCAGCACATGTGCGTGTTGTCTTTTTTCGTATCACTGATGCTGCTGCTGCAAGACCTACTACATGTGTGCCCGAGGGGGACGTGGCGCCAGTTGCAAAGCAGAGCAAAAGCGGTGTACTTACGAAGCTTCCTGGGCTGCCTACGCACCCTGGGCCTGTAGGTAGAGTTCAAAAGAGCGAAGGATGCGCAGAGCAGAGCCTGCACGGCAGTCCAATCATGAGCAGCCTCCTGCCTTCCTGTTGGCGGCACAGACTCCCATCAGAAGAAAAACGGAAGAGGAAGCAATGGTGCACTTCGCACTCTCGTTGTAATCAACCTGGTGTAGTTGTGGGGGTATTGGGACTGCTGTTTCGTCCTTGCATGAATTCGGTTCAGTGGCACCTGAGCTTTCAACGAAGTTCACTTGCATGCATGTGGCACTTCTCCAGACGATCCCAGCAGTAATGCCGAAGTAAATGCAATCCGACAAGAGGCCCCGAAGTTTTTCGTGTACGGGTGAATATCATCCAGATGATACACATCAGAGCCTAAGTCTAGCTGTTGAGGCCGGCGTCAAGGTTACTGGTACACCCGTCAGAACTCTCAGAACGATTTACCCTCTACTCGGACCTGCCGCAGGACTTCCTTGAAGAGGTTTTGGTTCAGCTCTGGGACGGCATCTGCTGGAGAAGCAGCACTTGCATTCAGACGCCGCCTTGCCTGACGAGTGGGGCATCCGCTGGGCTGAAATCGAGTCCGTACCTGCTGAGGCCAAGAGAAAGGAAAAGGAATCGGGCTGCGGAGGGAGGGCAGGGTTCTTGACATTCGCTGCCAGGCAAAACTCGGGTTTTGACACAAGCCCGGAATTTCAAGTTTAAGGGGTAGGGACGGGGCAGGCTGTTGCGAGTAGTTTTGCTTAGGCTTCCCGTCAAGGTTGAGAGCAGAGTCTTGAAACTGGGCCCCCCGAGCGCCCACAGCTTATTGCTGCAGCGACAGGTCAAGAATGGCCTGTACCATCCTTTGTCGCATCTTCTGGCAGACATGCTAGTGGAGATCTCAGATACGGGGGTTGAAGGGCGAAGCATTTCCAGTTCACGGCACTCGCATTTTCAACGGTACCCGGTGCAGAGACTACACGTTTCGTAATGTTAGCGGCAGAAAAGTCACCACGCTAAACGGGGTATGTGAAATCATGTCAACCTGTCCATAGAGCTTTTCCTGAGACTACACCCTAGCGCTGTTTACCAGAAAGACAGTGTATTTGCTGGTGACTTTTTGGGATTTGATTCTCAGCCTCAGCGCTGTATGTTGCTTATTTGCACAGCCTGCATAGCGATCTAGAGGGACTTGCCAAGGTTGCAGGCCCAGGCTTTGATCGTGATTTTGAGCCTCTCCGCTTCAGGTCAACGTGCCCATTTGGTTCTTGCTCGCTGCTTCAGCCATTGCGCCCTCCAGTCTTATCCTGGAGCCGGAAGGGGGGAATGTGGTGTGAGTTGTAACATGCGTTCTTGCAGAGGCGGTTTTGCTTCTCATCGTAAGGCCTTTCCATAAGTAGCAACATGTCGCAGTACCAGCAGGACTCTGGTATGTTATAGCATGTCACGGTGAAGCATGCGTAGCACTTGGAGGCTGTTTCGGTTAGATGCGGCATGATTCGGGCTAGCCGCAGGCCATGCTTAGAGGATCGACGGACCTAGGCAGGCACACTTCCAACCCTAGTCGTGAAGAGCACCCCTCAAAGAGTGTGCCCGAAACTCTGACTTGAAAACACCACGGCCGACACCCTCAGTTCTAACTCCTGGACTGAAGGGTAGTGGTCGTATTGAAGACAGCCTTCTGGACACAGGCTGGATGGATTCTTCTAGACAAAACGCACATTGTGGTGTGGGCACGTTTAGGTGCCTCGGTCACCCCATATTGCGCTAAACCTTTTCCAGGACACGCCGGTGATTCACACGCCAGAGCTGTGGTTACTGCTGGCCTGGAGCTCGTGGGGTAGATTGTTCGTGGCGCCAGGTAAGATGTGCGCTAGACAGCTCACTGCGCAGCTTTTCAGGCCGCAGGCCCCATGCCTCCAAAGATCCCCGTGAAGTAAAGCATGTCGGGTAACCTTTCCAATTATCTTCCTGAGCAAGGGGTGGTTCATCTGAGTAAGGTGTGGCTCATACTGCCTTTATTCACAAACCCCCAAAACTCCGAAAACTTGTGTTTCAGCAGTGAGGTGAACCGAGTAGGTTAGCAACGGAGGCTGCGTACATTGGCTTCAACGACACCTTTGCGCAGCTTTGCGGTGCCCATCGTGCTTTTGGGGATTTCCTGCTTTTCGAGGGTTCTGGCTATTCTTGTTTTTATTCTGGGACCACCAATCCAGAAGCTCCAACTTGGATTCACGTGAGTTTAATCTCTATGTTCAGGCAAACTGTTCGCTTTCGTTGTGCACAGAACCAGAACTAGTCGTCCTCAACCCCTGATGTGCAGGCCTACCCTTGACTCGCAAAGCTGGGGGCGAAACTGCAGAAGATAGAAAACCTTACCGAAGCTCATTGGAATCTGATTGCTTTGATGAGGGACAGTCGCAGCATGTAGCATCTGAGGGTTGTGGAGGTACAGAAGCTATGGTTGTTTTCATTGTTCCAGACTTTGGTCTCGGTCCTGCTCAGCTCTGAACTCCGAGCCCTCCGAAGGCTTCGATACTAAACTAGACCCAAGGCACATGGATCCAGACAATACAGCCATGTCCAGGAAGATCAAATTCGTCGAGGTCACCGCTTCATCCGCTTTTCTGTTCAACTGTTAAACTGAATACTCAGCCCAAGACCACGAAGATTGAAATTTCAGTAGCTTCAGCCTCAACCTACACAAATCTACGCTGATCCAATAAGTCTAGCCGGAAACCTAGCGAGCGAGCTCAGTACAAACAATGTTATCCCGACGCCCTCAAAGCCTAAAGATTCGGAGGCAGCCTTGGAACGGGAAGTCCACTGGGCATCATGGTTTTTCTCATGCAGACGTGGGGAGCCCTGACGTGTCGGTGCATCTTCACGTTGGCGTCTGTGTATTCTGCGCTCTCAGCTGTGACGCTCTCAACCGTGTCCCAGACCTGCAGCTCCAGTATGCATGTGCTACAGGGCGCCAGGTTGTTAGGCGCGAGCGAACTCAACCATGATGCG